TTAACTATACTTCCTACCAGTTACAATAGGCTCTGTAGAAATGAGGTGTTCCATAAGACCATCTAGGCACTTTCCAGATGGTATTACCATCTTCTACTGGACTGCCACTCATCGACTATCATGAGTAAAGCATAAGTGGATCCTGCCCATCATTGGATTGAATAAATGGGGTTGGTTTGCTTTTAAAAATTTAGGGAACTTGGTTCACCTGTTTTACTGTTCCTCAGGATTCCCCCATGCACATTACTCCCCAGATTCTACTAGTGGAGCTTGGGAGTCCTTACCACACTCAGTTTCCAGTCACTGGGGTGGTGGACAGATGCTTTTCATCCAATGTGTTAGAGTGAATTCCTTCACTCTTGAAGAAGAGGGTGAAGTTGGGGGCCCTAATACCCAGGTCCCTAAATGTTTTTCCCAGATGTTGGTATAAGAGGCATCAGCCTACGTGGGAGCCTACTTGTAATACCAGTTCAGATTTGACACTAAGCTATCTGGCTTGGGTATGCGTGGCCCTTCGTTTTTATCACTGTTGATTTAGTATATTTTTCATTGTAAGAGATCCACTATCATAATTCCAAATGCGGAGTAATCCCATCCTAGGTCCTTGGTTGAGCACAGTGTTTCACATTTTCTCCATAATTCTGGGAGCATGTTGAATGTTCCTTGGGAAGTGAGGATGAATGTTCCAGACCAGATGAGTTCTGTTCCTTTGGTTGAGTAAGGTATACACAATCTCGTTGTTCAAAGCCTGGGGTTTTGCCTTTCGGTTTTCTTCAGGTGGAGGAGATAGTTTGTCCACCTCGGTGTTGCTTATTTTCTCGTCATGATTTTGTGGTTCAGAACGCATCACTCTATGGCTACAGGTTGGGATCCAATCTAAAGTGTATATATATATATATAACATTGTGATCCAATTGTCCTAACCACCAATGTGGGATATAGGGACCAAGACTCCTTGATTCCAACCCAGAGTTGTGGAACCTTGGCTATCTGGTATCTGGTTGAGACTTGCTTATAATGATTACTTATGTACTATTCCACCCTTGATGCAGAAACTAAGTTTGAGTGAAGAGTATACCTGTGCTGGATGTAGTGAGGTACCCCCGCTCATGTATCACTATTATCTTGGTAAACCCCTGTTCTATGTAGATGTTTTCTGTATGGATAATGCCCTCACTGGCCCCTCCACCTTCCTAAATTGAAAATGTATTTCCAATAATTCTTACCTCTACTGATACTCTCTTGCCCTTACTCCCTACTAAAAGCCAGTGTTAGTGACTGGGATGATGTAAGCCTCAAAAAAGTGGTTCCATTATCTGAGTGAGGTGCTTATATACAGTACCAGGATAGAGGGCACATTGATGAGGGCATTTAAGTGGGGTATAAAAGACTGGAGTCAGCGAGACCAAGGCTTCGATGGGCAAAGTGAATGTCAAGGAATAGCTGTGTCAGTGGAGGTAAGTGTTATTGGAAAGAAATTCTCAATTAGGAAAATGTTAACTTTCCCTGCTTCTACATTTGAATTTGGGGGACTTTGTCTACCTCATAATATTGACAATAGGACGTACGTATACTGTTCCTGTTTTTGAGCAACTGTTCCATGTCCTCTTCTTCATTCCTGATGCAGGATGTCTCTACCCTACATTTACGATTGAGTGATTTATGATTTCTGTTCTTAATACTGGTTGCACAGATATTACCCTGTTCTTATGATTGAGTACAGGCCACATCATGAACCTGTAATTCTATATTTCTTGCTCCTACAGTGGTTTTGGGAGTTTGTCTGAAAGTTAATTTCCTCTTTGTAATTCTGATTGTTTGCTTTATGACTCTGTATTTACTTCTAGTTGGGGTTGATGAATATATGCAACACAGTCCACATGCCCTAGCCACTATGTTTATTACAATATATTTGATTGTCAACTTCCTAATGCCAAGGACGAGTTCTGTAACCTTGTCTGTCCAGTTGAGGTTGTGTGTGTGCACACAGCTAATTTGGTTTATATTTTACTATGGATTGCAAGTCTCAGAACAAATTGTACTTGTGCACATCCTTTTTTCCATATGCATCAGATTCATTTCCAACTTGAAGGGTGAAGAGCATACCTGTTCCAATAGTAGTGCAGTACCCCACAAGTGTGCTTCATTTTCACCAGTTCATTCTGGGCAGTTGCTTTCAACCATCAGAAGTTAAAATTTTCTTACAACTAAGAAACTTTACCTTTCCTCCCCACTGCTGATGTTCTTTTAGAGCATTTCAATTCTCAAAAGTGAGGATTGAGGAGGAATAGCAGAGGGAGCTAGCTGCACCAATATAGGTGGCACAATACTATTGGTGAAGAGTATTCACATATTATGTACATGTTCAAAAATGGTGCAAAATTCATGGGTATGTAGACTGTTGTGCTGAGCATGAAAATTTTTTAGTGATGCTTAGGGGGCAGAAAGAAGATTGAAATAGCTTTGTGAGAAGGTAGGTAAGTACCTATCGGAAGCACATTTTCAGTGTAAGAAAAATATTAATCCCTGCCATTGTTGTTGATTGGTAAAGTACAGGCAGTTCCTTTGCCAGTGCCCAACAATCCACAAGAGAAAATGATTCTTTGCTCCTCCAATCCTAGATGATGTCCATGTGGAAGCATCAACATTTATGGCATGTAAACCATGGGTGGATCTGGATAGTCCTGCCCATTTAGTGGTGGTCGCAATCACATTGCCAAGGTATGCGAGTGACTGGTTCAACCTTGGTCCAAGTCTAGCCAGAGGTAATGGAAGCGCTTGAGTAGGTTGTTCTGAGGCATAGACATTACAACTGTCCCTGTCAGTTTTTTTCTTTTTTAACAGCTGGGCAAAGTTTAGCCTCTGGGCTCAGGTTTTTTTTACTGTTGGTACCATGACACACTAGCCATATGTTTCTCATTAAGTTGGTTGTTTAATTAAAAATTAATTTAGCTTTGAGTATGCACTTTAGAATGCAAGAAATGTATTGGGTACTAGAATAGAATGTCTAAAACTGCTATAATTTAAATGGCTTTCTAACTAAACTATAAATAGGTTAAAAGCTTTCTTTAGCTGCTTGGAGCTAACAGTATTCAAGTAACTGATGCCTGATGTGGGCATATAGTCAAAACTATTTGTATTTTTGTTAAACTTTAATTTGTGAACTTTTTGTTGGGGGGGGGGCAGTTTTAATACAGTAGGCTTTTGGAAATTTGCAGAGTGAAACTTGCTGAACAGAATGCTATATATATATATATATATTTCAATATATATTCCATCTTGTTACAGGTATTGTACTAGTTTTCATGCATGATACATTTTAATGTACAGCAATTTAGGATTACCAAAGTTACTCTAAAAGTATTGTATGTGAAGGCAGGGTATCCTATAGCTTTTCATGATTTTTTGCCAAATGGATTTTTTTCACCACCAATTTGCAAGTTAATTTTATATGTTGTAATTATAACTGTTTAACAGTTTTAACTCAAAAATATTCTTAAATCAATATTTTGTCATTTTCTAAGTTATTTAGTGTTAATTCATGAAGAACATTTTTTTTTATTTCAAATTTTTCTTTCTGCACTGTTTCACCTGTAAGTAACCCAGTTGTCAATTTTGTTGAATTTTTCTGACCATCCCAGAGATTAACTATCTTCCCTAAGATCTACTCACCCCATAAGAGTATATTATCCATTCCTTGATATTCAAGTATTTAACTTTCTTTTTTCTGCTTAGTTTTTTGTAACCTTTTCAAGCTGCTACATCAAGTAACTTGATCATCCATTTACTTATGAAACACAGCTACAAAGAGTTGCAATATGACTGGATAGATTATTTTGTAGTGGTTAAACAGTAGTTTATTGTTTTGTAAGAAAATTTGTAGATGGCACTCCTGTAGCACATGTTCAAAGGCATTCAATGATAAGTTTTGAAGACGAGATCTTTGGTTCTTTATTTAAAATTACAGGGCTTTTAATATTCATACTATAGCCTTCTGAGTTGCAGCAGTTGTGAACATAAGAGTTATTTTATTATTATGTTCACCAAATTATATTGTCATCAAATAAGCTTGAATGGTTTAATAAGTATGTTAGGCAATAGCAAAATTTCCTTATGACTCAAATTCTTATTTATTGAATATTATTACATTAATCCTATTCAGAAAATGGTCATGAATAAATTGACTAACTGACTACTTAATTATTTTTAATTGCAGTTGTGGATTTGTGATATGTTTTAAATAAAGCATTATTGCAATTATCAATATATTTAGTGACAGTAAGTTGTTTTTATTATTCAGTTTACATCAGATTAAATCTTTAAAAATAATTTTTATGAAAATAATTGTTTATACAAAATGTGTTGTTTTTGCTAAATATGCAAATTGTAACCACTAGAAGATGTCTGTTATATTAAATAAAGGATAATTTGTAGATTATGTTGAAAAAATACTGGGTGGAAAATAGGAAGATTAATATTATACTAAAATGATGCAGTGGTTCTCAGAGTTTTGAAGCTGACATACCCCTTTTAAAAATTAGTACAAATTTACATACACCAGTGATACTGATACTGGGAATGCATACTCTAATTTGATAAATGATAGATTAATTGAATAATGAGTCCATTGATTAATCGTTCAGCAAATTTTATTAATTGCCAAGCTCTAATTATTTACTAGTTTTACAGCATGGTAACTGATCAGTGAACTTTTTCTTATCATCTAAAGATATATTAGGAATATTTTGAAATTTTTATTGGTTCTGATTTTGAAGTTTTTCTAGCTACTAGAGCTTTATTGCTGTATTGTAGTGCTAATTTAGTTAAATTATTATCATTTGCTTCAAATTTTGCTAGTTTGTAATAATGATAAGTCATTTTTTGTTTGATGAACTAGTTTTATTTCATTATTGACATGAAGGATAATAGTAGTAGTTAGAAGCCTTAGAAATATAAAACTTGATAAATTCTTAACATCTTGGTTGTACATGTTTTACTAGGTTGGAGATTTAGTTTATGCTCGAGTGTTAGTTGCCAGCAAAGACATGGAGCCAGAGCTAGTCTGCGTGAACAGTCATGGGAAGAGTGGAGAACTCGGAGTTCTGCCTAGTAGTGGATTTTTGTTCACGGTCCCCTTGAACCTTGTTAGAAAGTAAATTTATTTTGAAGTTGCATACCTTTAGTTAGTATCCTGTTTTGATATCATGCTCTCATCTGCTATAAAAGACATAGTTTATTTCTTAAACATCTATTGAAACACACTAAAGTCACCAATTATTTATAGTTGAAACATTATGTTATTTGATTAACTAACGAATTTTGTGTAAATTATTGATGCTGCCTACTAGTTAATGGTTGAAACAGTGTAACTTAGCTATATATTTTTTTTTCAAATGTTAAAGTAATGGTCTGTAATAAAAACTGTCAAGTTAAACCTGGAACATAGCCAGTTAGAAAATCAGTAGTATTCAAACAGGTACTATTTTAGCTAGAACTACCTGTTTATGGTTTTTGGACAGTTTTGTTCTACATGTTGAAAACTTCTTTAGGTCAGTGTAATAGCAGGTGGGTGATTGCGTCACGATTCTGGTGGAATTCTTGAGTACACCTAGGGTTCTGTAAGTGCAGTCTTATATTTGACGTGTTGAGATTTTGTGAAGTAGGATGTTCTACAAGTAAGTTTCTGTAATTCAAGTGCTGGTTTTTGGATTTTAAATCATTTTCCTGCTGAATTTATGAACATTTACCAATATGTAGTTATGTCTATTGAGATCTTCAGTTAACTATAAGATGTCTGTTAAATTTTGTTTGGAATATGTTATGGTCATCATTTCTGAGAAATAATGTTGAGTCATTGAAGGAGTTCAGGGAAGAGCTACCAGTATGATTCTATCTCTGAAGAAACTATTTTGTGGTTATAGGTTTAAATGTCTTAAGGTTTTTTGTTTTTTTTCTGGAGAGGATATAGGCTTAGGGTGATTGAGATTTTTAAGATTGTTCGAGGTTTGAAATCAGTAAATTGGAATGAGGTTTTTCATTAAACAAGACAATTGAGGACACAAACTTAAGATATGAAATAAATTTGAGATAATTCCAAAAGGCAGTTTCTTTCTTTCAATAGGGTGATTGGCCAGTATAATAGCCTTCTTTCAGTAAAATGGCAACATTAAAGGGTTTTAAAAGAATAGATTTAATGAACATTTGAAACTAGGGTTTGACATAGAAAAAGGGATGTCTTTGTGTAGTTTGGTGCCCATTTTATCCTTAAAAATAAAATTAATAAGCCATCCAAAGACCATCCATAAGCATTTTCTATCAATTCAAACCCACCTGGTCCTTGGTGAAACTAAGTTGAATGGACAGGAACTGCCTGTTGCAGAAAACAAGTGTAAAAAACAATGTTTCAAAAGTCTTTTGCCTTTCATTTTCAGGTGGAAGAATACCTGGTCCTTCTTTTAAAGAAAATTGTATTTCACTGAAATATATGTTGCAGTCATATTGTTTATGTAATCAAAACTCCATTTAAAGTATTAGTTAATGGTTGTTTGTGTTTTATTTTACTTTTTATTGTTAGTGACATAAATCCACATCTGTGCATCACTTAGCCTTACTAGTCAGGGAAAGATGAATATATTGCTGATTGAAATGAAATATGTATAATTTAATTATAAAGAAAACAGTGGAAAGTTTTATTTTCGTTGGAACATTATGTTTTATAAAAAATTGTGAGCAATTATCATACAACTATTACCACACAAACATAAGATTAAAATATTGCACTTAGTGGTATTTGCTAAATGATTAATTGAAAGACTTGTTAATTGATTAGTATACCATGCTCATACAAACAAAAAATAACAGCGAGTATTTGCTTACTCTCTTAACTTTTTTGAAATAATGCATTATTCTAACATGATATTAATCTTTATATTTTTGATTTACTCATAATTTCACATTATCGGACCTGCCTACTGCTACAATTTCGCCGTAGCTGCTACATGAAATGCTCTCTGTTTATGATGCTACAGGCATTATGAAATAGCTAAGGCAACGTTGGGGTCTTACAATGTACTCTGTTCGTTCAAAGTCTTTTGTTCACTTGAAGTCTTCCTTGTGCATCTGCCTATGAGCCTTGTCGCTCTATTGTGCTTGCATGTACTTTCCATGGGATGCAAGCTACTGGCCATTGCAGGTCAAGCATGAGTTCTCAATGGCTGTCTGAAAGCAATTTTCCTCAGGTGAAACAAGCATCCATGACACAAAGAAGATGGTAAGGACAGCTAATCAGACTTTCAGAAAGGAATATGCTGAGTTGTGGCTTTGCCTCAAGCTAAGTAAACTTGGCACAAACCATATTCTCTGTACTCTGTTCCAGTTAGAATCATGGTATCTGTGCTACTGACAAATCCTTTTTTGCTTTGAAAAATTGACCAGTTAATAGGCAAATGCTACTAAAAACAAACTTTTTGGGTAGACAGGTCTGTATGATAGACCACTTCTGAAAGTCACCATTTGTGCATTTGTGAAAAACATATTTTTTGTCCTAAAAAAAATTCTGGCAAGTTTTATGTACATTTCTTTCTAGGTGGATGAATTGCAAATATTGAATAACTCAGATCATGAGATTGCCATCGTTTGTTTTTTTAAGTATGCAGTAATTCTATACCGGTTTTCTGTAAATCAGATAAATAGGAAATTAAATAATGAAAACGTTTTACTTGCACGATAAGAGTAATGGTGTATTTATATAAAACGTCACAAATACAGTTACAAATAATTAAGTAGCTAATTGGACAATTTATGTACTTTGTTTGAAAAGGATATTCAATACTCATTAAACAGTAACTTAAATGATTTAATGGCAATAGTTTTTAATTGGTGAACATAATAAGAAAAAAACAACCTCATGTTTACAAACATTGCAACTTAATAAAACCATAGTATATCAATTAAAAAGTAAGAACACCAAACAGCAATCTCCAGTCATGTGACTTCTTTGCTTCGTACTGTATATATATATATATATATATATATATAAGTAAAAGCTTTATTATCCAGCATCTGCCAAACCTGGGCAGTGCCTATTAGGCGAACATTCTGGTTGCTATATTTTTCAGAAAAACTTTGACACCTCTTTGTTAATGTCCTAAAGTACAGTGTTTGTATATTATCTATAACAATAACAGTTTTAAACAGCAATAAATGTTGTAAAAAGCCTTAAACTGTGTAAGCTTACCTACCTAATCTCAAGTTATCTGATGTAATATTGAAGACAATTTCTGTAGTTGAATTCAAATTTGATGACAACCACAAATACTTTAACCATTCACAATGAAAGGAGTGTTTACAGAAACTAAAAAAAGCAAAAACTTAAACCTATATATTTACTCTACTAATCATTATAAACCAATTCTTTCTTTTCAGGTAAAACTTTTTGCAGCTGTGGAAAAATGAAAAAAACAACATTTTTATTAATAAATCACACTAAATAAGTATAAAAATATAAATAAATATCATTTCTGAAATATTCAGTAATAAAGTCAATTAGAAAGCCTACAAAGTCATAATGAGAAGCTCAAGTTATCTACAACTAGTCCCAAGCAGGAGGGTTGATGTCAGGCAGACAGCAGTTGCAAAACTTAAATCTTGCTAAATTATGAAAGTTGATACAAAAAGATAAGATCATAGAGCCAGGACATCTCTCAAATGTGATGTGCAATGTTATAATCTTAGTACTTTGAAAAGTGGACCAGGGCAAATGCATCTGTCACAATGAGTGAGGCTAAAAAGATCAGATTAGCTAGTTGGAATGTAGGAACGCTGACAGGAAGGAGTGCAGGGTTTGCAGATCTGAAGAGGAAGAGAATACAGATAACATGCATCAAGAGACAAGATGGAAACATGGCAAAGGAAATTGGAGAAGTTACAAGCTCATCTTTCATATAACTACAAAGAAAAGTGGTAGCAGTTGTATTGAGTGCAGAAATGAAAAAGAAATAGTGGAAATGAAAAGGTTGAGTGATAGAACGGTGGTGGTAAAGCTAGGTACAGAATGTGGCATGCTGAATGTAGTATGTGCCTGTGATGCACAAGTGGAATGCAATGATTGGGAAAAAGAATTTAGAGAATGTCTGGAAAACACTGTAGAATATACTGAGAGAAGAGTTAACTGCAATGGGGGTTGATCTAAATGGACACATTCAACAGGACCAAGGTGGCATGGAGAACATGGCTATGGGGAAAGAAATATGGAAGGCAAGGAGATCCTGCAAATGGTTCAGACACATGATTTGGCTATAACCAATACATTTTTCAAGAAGAAAGAACAGCTGATAACCTATTAGTTAGGAAAGAGAGAGTGAAAAGTGTGAAAAATTGTAAAGTTATACCAGGGAAAAAGTCACACTTCAGCATAGACTTTTGGTTATGGATTATGAAATGAAAGGCATAGGAAGGATAGTGATAACCAGTGTACCCCCAAAATAAGGTAATTGAAGCTGACAGAACTAGATACATCAAAGGCATTCTTTGACCCAGTGTTGATGGAGTGCAAGCAGATTGAATAGAACAAAAATGAGAATGAGATATAGGTTGGGTTTTCAAAATGTGTATTAGACATGGTGAACAAAGTTGTGGGAAAGACCAAAAAAGGAAACTGTATCCAGAGAGAGAGAGAAACATGGTGATGGAATTGGAAAGTGCCATCAAGTGTGAAAGAGAAGGTAAAATTTAAGAGGTAGGAGCAAACCAATAAAAGGAGGATCTGCAAATATATATAGCAAAGAAAAGAGTGATTATTGACAAACAGAGGGTGTATGTAGAGCTGTATGAGAAGATGGAGGGAATACAGGAGGAGAAAAGTGTGTGCTGAATAGCCAAAGTCAGGGAAGGGAGAATAAAGGGATATGGGTGAGGTGAAGTTTATTAAGAACGATAATGGTAAGGTGATTGCAGGTCTGATAGATATCAAAAATAGAGGGGGATCATACTTCAAACATCTATTAAATGAAAAAATAGTGATAGAAATAGGGACAGAACAGTTTAGGTTTATGGCTGGCAGGTCAACAATGATTGCCATATTCTTATTGAGAGGGTTGATAGAGAAGTTTGGAGGGAAAAGAAAAGACTTGAAAATGGTATTCACTGAACTGAGAAAACGTATAACATAGTACAAAGGGAATTGATATGGTGGTACTTCAGAAAAAGGAATGTACCAGAGTTGTATGTGAGGCTGATCCAAGATGTGTATGAAGGAGTGGAAACATTTGTAAGTAGTGTGGTAGGAGACTCAGAGAGATTTCCAGTGAATGTGGGAGTCCATCAAGGATTAGCATTGAGTCATTTATTCTTTGTAACAGTGCTGGACACAGTATCTATGGGCATGCAAAGGACAAGTGCCATAGTATATGTCATTTGCAGATGATGATGTATTATTTAGAGAGAACAAAAGTACAACTAGAGATGGAGAAAATGTCTAGAAATGTAGTTTGAAAATAAATAGGACAAAGAATATGTAGTAGCAAAAATCAGTGGAGGGGAAATAAAAGAGAATGATAAGGTGTTTCTAAATGGTAAAGTTAAAGAAAGTGAAGGTATTTACATATCTTGGATCAATTGTGCAGATAGATGGTGGAGTGTGTAATGAGGGAAAGAAAAGAATAAACAAAGCATGAATTAAGTGGAGAGAAGTCAGTTGAATAATGTGTGACAGATGGCTGCCAATAAAGCTGAAGGGAAGATTTATAAGGCAGTGATAAGACCAGTTATGTTGTATGAGGTTCAATGCTGGAATTTAAGAAAAAGAGAGAAGATGATGAATGTGGCAGAGATATGGATGTTGAGGTGGATGGTGGGTATCGAAGAAAGACTGCTCTAGAAACAAAACCATTAAGAAGGGGGTGAAAGTAGTATCAGTTATGAAAATGATGAGAGAAACTTGCTTTCAATGGATCAGTCATGTGGAAAGAAGAGTATATTCATAGAAGAGTGATAAATATTACAGTGGAAGAAAAAAAGACAAGAAGAAGACCAAAGAAAAGATGTAGTGGGAGAAGACATGATAAAAAGGCAGTGAGAATGTAGCTATCACACAGAATAGGAAGGAGTGGTGAGTAAGAACCCAAAAAGCAGACTCCAAGCAATTGGGACATGCTAAGAAGAAGAAACTGGGTTATAATCCAATGATTTCTAAAAAATGTGATTCATGTCAAAATAAAAACAGTTAAAGACAGACATTTTAAATTTGGTAATGCAAATTAAAGAGTTATAAATTTATTAGAAAAAAATATATATAAATTCTACACCTAAATTTGTATTTTAGCATTCATAAACAAGATGCCCCTTTTTAATTTTTCTTTTTTAAGTTGTCACTTGCACAATTAAAGCATTTTCTTATTTTGGACATCAACATAATAATATGTGACAAGAAGCACACAACTCACCATATTGTGCTTGCACTGTATGCAAATTTCCTTGGATTTTTTCTTTTCCATTTGAAATCCTTGAATCTGGTGAAATAATATATTGTGTTAGAAATATGTATTTTCAATAAATGTTGAAAAGATTATATGTTCTTAAATGAAGTTTTAGACACCAAAATACAAATCCTCTCAAAGCACTTGAGGTCTGATGCTTATTGCATACAAAATCCTAAAATTTGACTTCACTGTTCATGTCTACACAATATAACTTATTTAACACTACATCTATGATAAAATGTTTCACTAGTGGATTTTTAATTACACATATTGAT